TAACCTACAAAAAGAAGAAGGCAAGCTAGTAACATATGTTCAAGGAAAAAGGATCCCGCTCTTCTCAAAGACACTTGGTAGGATTCTCAACATTCCAATGCCTGCTGCAAGAACTCCGAAAGAACACGAAGAAGTCTGGAATGCATATGACAAAAGACAGTTCTATTGGAGCCTCAGCAGAATGTCTGAAGCCGAATTCCATGCAAAACGGGTCCAATCCTTAGGCGGCTTGGAACCATCTCATAACTCATGGTCGGCAGATAAATTGGGCAAATATGGTTTTAACTCACATGCGCGGAATCAATGAAAAATCCAAGTTTCTGCCATATGCATGGTTCATTACAAAGATCTTGGAACATTATCAAGTAGACTTTGAAGGATATGATATGTATCTCATGGATTCAAATGTCAACAAGATCTCAATCAAAAATGTGGACTCTCGGATGGTGTCAAATACAACCCGGATACCAAGACAATCATTTACCTTGGCGAAGGTGTGGCTGATAATGATGAACAAGAGGATGAAGATGATGATGATGTTCCTGCTCCGTTTGGAAATGGTCCAAGTAATCAACAGTTAATGGACTACATGACTCAACAGTTTGGGAATCTAAACAATTCCATCGATGCTCAATACAATGTTATTCAAGAGTCAACCAACACTCGGATCAACAACTTTCAAGAGAACGTGAACCAACAATTCTCCTACCTGTACTCTCACCTATACATCCCGCCGTACGGTCCTTCAAACCCGGTTGTTCCTCCTACTCGTCCATCACCTCTCAAGAAAACTTTTCCAAACCAACTAAACTTTGACCCAAACATGGATCTATCTTAGAAATGACTGTTTTTTGTTTTTATTGTTGTTATTTATTTTTGTTATTTTTTAAAGTCTGTACTTTCCAGCTTTATTGTACTTTTTTTTTTAATTTGACTTTTGATCAAGCTTGTCCGTTATTTTCATATATTATTTCCTTAATCCATCTTTCCCTTCTTTTTGATAATGTCAAAAGGGGGAGAAAGAGGTTACTCTTTTCTTGTTTATTATCTTTCCTTAAAGGTACAAATTTTCAAAATTCAAGACTATTTCGAACCTCAATACAAATTCAGAAACTCTCAACACGTCATACATTGATGGGGAGAAAAACGTACCAGAAAGAAAATATCACAACAAAAGAAGAATGCTTTGTCATCATCAAAAAAGGGGAGAATATGAAATCAAGATCGTCAGAGATCAACATTTGTTTCGATGAAGACAAATCACTCAAGAAGGCAAAGATGATCAACCATCAAGCATCAGGACAAAGATACAACTTTGAAGATGTTCTCATCTGAAGGTATAATGAGAATATCCATTAAACATTTAAGTCCTAATTGCTCAAAACTTTTAAAACATTTCTCATGACTTGTTACACTCTCACAAGCTTTTGAAAACAGAATTTTTCTAAGTTTTTCAAAGTGCAATCGATTGCACTCTTAGAATAATTGATTGCATGATCAAATTTTTTAACTATTTTTGTTTCTATTTTGAAGAGCAATCGATTTCTGCCTTAGTGCAATCGATTGCATGCTTAAAAAATTCTAAGTTTTCACTTCTATTTTAAAGTGCAATCGATTGCTGCCTTGGTGCAATCGATTTCTCACTGAACGTTTTTGAAAAATCCTTCTGAAAAATTGCATCTCTTCATTCAAATGTCTGTTAAATGTTTCCTTTGAAACATAACAATTGTTTATCAATTTTTCTGAAATTTGCATGATTTCATCAAGAGATAATTATGTAATATAAATACCTAGCTTTTCAAATTCAAAGACAACTCTAACTTTTACATCAATTATTTAAAAATCTCTTTCAATAAAAAACCCTTGAACTTTTTCTTTAAACAATTTTCACAAAGAATTTTCTGCATCAATTTCATATCTTTTGAAAATAAAATTCTTGAGCAATAAGTCTTAGATACTTGTCGAAATTCCATTGGAAGAGAAGATTCAATCTCAGCATTGATTATCAATTATACATTGTTACAAATCTTACAAACTCAGAATTGTATTTTAGTTTCCCTTTGTTGTTCAGGATTGTTGAAAGCAAGTGTGTGCATTAAAGAGGATTGTTCTCTTTGTACTTAGTGTTTAGATCTTAAAGGTGTTTTAAGAACCTTTGATCTCCTATAGGTTAGAAAAAATTGTACATTGATCCTAACTATAGTGAAATGTCTTTCATGTTGAAAGGGAAGTGGAGTACCCTCGGGGTGTGAGGGGAACCACTATAACTCTCTGTGTCTCTTTTACTTTCTGCCTTTACAAGCTTTCAAATCATCACTTAATTAAAAATAAAGTAACATAGCCCTCTTAAAACCAGAAAATTTCAAAGAACCTAATTCACCCCCCCCCCCCCTCTTAGGCGCATTACTTACTCACAACTGGTAGTAGTAGTTGCATTAAGACATGACAGTCATGAGATTTTAATCCAATTAATTTGAGATCTTTACCTGAGACAAGCCTATTGACATTTGATGAGTAACCATGCGAAACTTTAATACTTTGTAAACACTCAGAAAAACTTTTTTTCTCTTTTTTAGACAGAGTGTAATAGGGAGGAGGCAAATATATCTTGTTACCTATATGTTGTGGAGTTAACTCTTCTCGTATACCCATCAAAACCAAATCCAGACGAACATTATAACCATCTTTTTTCTTTCCTTGAATATTAAGAAGTGTTCTGATTAAACTATCACATACATTTTTCTCCACGTGCATCACATCAATACAATGTCTTACATCAAGACTAGACCAATATGGAAGATTGAAGAAAACCGACCTCTTTTTCCATATATTTTTCATAGTAGATTGCTTTTGGTACTTCCCAAAGACGAAATTAATGCTCTGTTGTCGTTGATAAACTTCCTCTCTTGTTAAGGGCTTTGGAGCAACACCATGCTCTTGTTCCCCATTGAAAGCTTTCCACAATCTACGATATGTATGATAACGATCTAGAAATTTTTGATGCCTGAGATAAACAGTCTTCTTTCCTTTTTCAAGTTGATGGTGACATGTGTCTTTTTCACATATAGGACATGCTTTATGCCCTTTAAATTTATAACCAGACAAATTGCCATATGCTGGAAAATCGTTGATGGTGCAAAACAACATGGCACACATATTGAACTGTTCACCATAATAAGCATCAAAAACATCCACCCCTTCCTCCCACAACTCTTTTAAACCATCAATCATAGGACTTAGATAAAGATTTATGTCATTTCCGGGTTGTTTTGGGCCCGAAATCATCATTGATAACATAATATATTTATGCTTCATGCACAACCTAGAAGATTGGTTGTAGATCATCAGGAGAACAGGCCAACAAGTATGGTTAGTACTTAGATTACCAAACGGATTCATTCCATCAGTTGAAAGTCCAAGTCTAAGGTTTCTCGACTCTTTGCCAAAATTTGGAAACAAAGCATCTATTTTCTTCCATTGTAAAGAATCAACTACATGGCGAATTTTTCCATCACACTTTCTTTATTTTGCATGTCATCTAAGATTTTTTGCATCATTTGCATTAGCGAATAGTCTCTTGACCCTTGAAATTATTGGTAGGTACTGTACCACTTTCGCGGGAGGAACCTTTTTTACCGCCTCATCATCACTAGAATCACCAGCTTTCTTTTTGTAGTGTGACGCCTTGCACTTCGGACAATGATTATAGTTTACATATTCTTTTCTATATAATATGCAATCATTAGGGCATGCGTGTATCTTTTCATACTCTAAACCCATCGGACACAATATCTTTTTCGCCTCGTAATAACGATTTGGCATTACGTTACCTTCTGGAAGCATCTGTGTCAACAATCCAAGTAATTCGGTAAAACATTTGTCAGTCCACTCATTATTTGCCTTCAAGTTAAACAATTTTAACACGGCTGACAAACGTGTAAAATTTGTGCATCCCGGGTACAAAGGTTTATCCTTGTCACTGCATAAAGTATCATACGCATGCGCCTTCTAAAAAAATCTTGTCTAATATCACGCATCATGTCTTCCAGACGATTATCCATTTCTGCACTAACATTATCTCTTTGGGACACATTTAACTTTGCTAATACCTCACAGTGCCATATCCATTGTATATACCTGACGAAATTCAAATCACAAAAGAGCAATTACCATTAAAAATTTTGGAACAACAAAAGAACGACTTTTTCAAGAAAATGTTTGAAGCTGAAACAAAATCGTATGGTGAAATCATATACACTTTTGAAGAACTAGAGAAAGAATATGTTAATGAGTATAAAAAGGAAATGAATGGTAAGGTTTGGTATGTTGGTCCTGTTTCACTCTGCAACAAAGATGGTTTGGATAAGACTGAAAGAAGTAACATAGCTTCAATAAGTGAACATAATTGTTTAAAGTTTCTAGATTTTCATATACCAAAATCTGTTGTTTATGTTTGTCTTGGAAGTTTATGCAATTTAGTTTCTTCACAACTTATTGAATTGGCTTTGGGATTGGAAGAAACCAAAATACCATTTATTTGGGTTATTAGGGATGGAGTCAATAAATCTCGAGAGTTGGAAAAGTGGATTAGTGATGAAAAGTTTGAAGAAAGGAACAAAGGGAGAGGCCTCATAATTAGAGGATGGGCCCCACAAATGGTGATATTATCTCATCCTTCAATTGGTGGATTCTTAACACATTGTGGTTGGAATTCAACACTTGAAGGGATAAGTTTTGGTTGCCAATGGTAACTTGGCCATTGTTTGCTGACCAATTTTTGAATGAGAAGCTTGTGACTCGAGTTTCGAAGATTGGAGTGAGTCTTGGTGTTAAGGTTGTAATGGAGTTTGGTGAGGAAGAGAAGCTAGGTATTATTGTGAAGAAGGAAAGCATTAAGGAGGCAATATGTAATGTGATGGATGAGGAAGATCAAGAAAGTAAAGGGAGAAGAGAAAGAGCTAGTGAATTAAGTGAGATGGCAAAGAGAGCTGTTGAAAAAGGTGGATCTTCTTATATTAATATGTCTTTGCTTATTCAAGATATCATGCAGCTACAATCAAAACACCAAAGTTGAGACATGAAGAAACATGCAATTTATAACATTTTTCCTTTTTATGTCATCATTTGTTTTCTTTTTCTATCATAGCATATTCTACCCTGCAAGCATGAAGGTATATATGTGTGTTTTTAAGCAAAATGAAAATTGTCTAAAAACAAGGTGTTCCTTGTATGTATGTTTTTTTTAATCATTGAATTGTAAATTAATGTATTAAACTTCCTTTACAAACATTAGATAATACAAATGAAGATCAATATAGCATCTCACAACTACCTCTTGATTCATCTCTAGTTACAATGCCTTGTTACACAAGTTATGCTAGGTTGCACTGGCTCAACTTTGATCCCATGGTCATTAGTTTGTTATTAGAGTTAGTTAGCTTATGATTATTGTTGTTAGTTTGTTATTAAAGTTATTCCTATATAATATACTCGGCAGTTTGATGTTTAGCATAATGTTGAATACAAATGTGTGCATGATTCATCACTTTATTTTGCTTTCATTTCCATCTTTAAGATACACTATGCCAAATTGAAGTTTTAAGAGCATCCCTTTAATTACCACTAGTGCAGAAATGACTTTTTATATAGGGCGAAAATGACATTTTACATCGGGTCTGGGTCCGATGTAAAGCCAGACGATGTAGTAAATCAAAGACATTTTACATCGGGTTTTGGGCCGATGTAAGAAATACACCAAGCACATCGGTTAAATTTTTAAGTCTGATGTGAAAAAAAATATAATTGTAAATTTTGATTATAAAAGGTTGTTTTTACATCGGTTGTAAGGCAAAACCGATGTAAAAGGTAGACTTTTTACATCGGTTGTGTGGTTAACCCGATGTAAAAGTACTGCAGTAAACAAAATAAAAATGTCAAACACACGCCTGGTGACATTTATTACATCGATTCTCTTATTTGACCGATTTGAAAAGTCCTAGGTGACACGTTTAACATCGGTTTTGTTGTTAACCGGATGTGAAAGGTGGTTTTTACATTGGTTATTTCGTTCGCCCGATGTAAAATATACTGTTACGAGTATAAATTATTTGTCTATTTTTTAGCCGTTCCCTGTAACTTTTTTGCTACCTAATTTTTCATTTTTTTCCAATATCACACAGACCATAATTAGGTCGCTATTTTCCATATTTTCCCAACATCATATAGACCACATTTAGGTTGTTATTTTCATAGTTTTCCAACATCACATAGACCATATTTAGGTCGTTATTTTTATATTTTTTTCACAAATCTAATTTCATTGCACCAAATATCTAGTATACACATAATTGATTTACAAAAGTACTGATATAAGATATACACAAATGTACTAAATTATAAGGAGGTTTACACGATGAACCACTACAACAACAAAAAGCTTAACCTTTATATAACTCAAAGAAACATGTTGCCCAACGGGGTCGCAAATCATATAAATCATCTTCTGTTAAGTTCGTTGGGTCATCAAATACCTGCAACACATAAATTACAATAGAGTTATTCTTTGAAAATTCACATTAAGTTGCAAAACGTAAAGTAAATAACAAATTAAAGTCATTTTTATTACCTTCATCCAAGAATTGGTTATATTGGCAAAGACAATATCCAACATATTTTTCATCACATAATATCCGCAATCATTAGAGTTAGGTTGTTTCCTTGTCTACAAATGAATGACATATTAGTGAATACTTATATGATAAAATTAAATATATAATTATAATTTACACCACGCTTACCTTGGGTTGAAGCCATGTAGCCTTTTTTCTATTTCCATTTGCCGCTTGATGAACCCTAAAAGCACTAATTCAGAAGAAAAAAATTCATATAAAGCCACATAATATATGATATTACTTTTGTAATAAATTATGTATATAGTATGAAGTGAACATAAAAGATAAACTTACCTTGTAACAATTATCGTCATGGTTTGATTAAGTTCATGATGAAGTGAACAAAAGACGACCACCGTATTATCATTTGGACACATGACTATTAATTGCCAATGACCTCTGTACGTGTGTGTGAAAACACAAAAGTCACAATTTCATGTTACCAAAATTGAACTATATATGTTACCAAAATTAAAAAATAGAAAACATAATTTCATACAAACTTACCCATGAATAAATGATAGCAAGTGACACTCTCTCTTTTCGTCACGTAACTTATCTTGTATGTATTTTTTGACACTTGCTTGAGTTTTCGGCACATGATCAACGTACGAACACATAGCAAGGTCCATAAATCCGTATACTTCAGATTGTGAAGTATCAATACACAAATGATGAATATACCTGAAAAATTTTAAAATCAACATTATAATAAAAGTGATGAGAGATATAACATATTAATAGATATTGACACTAATAAAAATAGAAAATGTACTTACGTGCACCAAACTTGGAGAGTAGACACGTCAAGCCAATTAAAACTCACCAGCAGCTCTCTGATACACTTAGCTGACATATAAAAATTATTGGCGCTCACACAATGACTTAATTCTATTGCCAAATGATCTTCACCCATTCTTAGAACCATTCTCATTAATCTCTCAACATTGTCTTCTCCTTCTCCTTCTTTTGTGCTTACTTTTGCAGCTGAACAACTTTCTTTTCCGCTTCCATCAACAACTTCCCTTTATACAATGCATTTATTATTATTATTATTTCCAGTGCTTTGTTGCGAGAGACCCATAGACCTAAGTGTCTCCATGAAAGATTGTTCCATCGCCTTATGCTTTTCAGCCAACTTTTAATCAAAATCAGTTCTAAGCTTTGCTTCTAATTCAGATGAAAACTGTGCAAATTGTTCTCTTATATCTTCTTGTCGTTGACATGAAGAAGATCTGCCAAAGAAAGTGCTTTGTTTAGGGTGCTTTCCAACACCACGAACACGACCGCCATGCTCAGATGTTCCAATGGTTGTTGTTAAGATATTGTTACATCCATCCAGAACAAAGCCACCCTTTTTAGCTTCTTCAACTAGAGAATCCTACAAAATGAAAAAACCATATTTTTTTATCAATCACAACTATAACTAGAGAATCCTACAAAATGAAAAAACTATATTTTTTACTTACAATTTTCTCAGCAACAACTTGTGTAGCCTTTGATGTGTATTCTCCCCGTTTCTTTTGTCGTGCTCTCTTCCATAACTCATGGCGTGACGGTGGAGATGGGCTACCAGTATCATCTAAGGTAGAATCATATCTTGATGATCTCCTTTCATTTATCATTTTCTCCTCAAGCAAACGATACCCTCCACGAGATAATACATGTGGGTATACATTCTTAGCCACATTTGCTGCACCCTTTTGACTTTTTTCCTATTATAAACTCAAAAAGTTATTAATCATACTAAACATAATAAAAATGTTATGCACAAAAATAAAATTATAACTCCTACTAACCTTAAATTCAGGGCTATCTCGTGACTGCACAAAATCCTTCCATACTTCTTCTTTAATATAATTGTACCTAATATGTGGAGGAGCTAGACCTTCTTTGGGCTTTCTAATGTACTCGCTTGTAAGTTGTGTCTTAAAAGCTCTTCATCGCTCTCCTGCATATTTAATCCATTCTTTCTTCAACGGATCCTTCTTTGGATCATGAGGTTCTGGAATAGTGAAATGAGCCTACACATATAGTATATGGCATATGTTGTTAGTATATGATTATAAAATATAATAAAGTGTAGCAGTTAAAAATACCTGAACATCAGTCCAAATAGCCTATTTTATGCCTTCATCTATGTCTTTCCACTCATTTTTCAAAATACTACATCTCTGTCGAGCAAGAGACGCTATGTAACTCATAAAATTTGAAGCATTTTTACCCATACATCCATTGGTTATTGGATGAAACACGACCTTTATCTTTTCACCCGTTTGATGAACTTTGTTAATTTGTGTCATCAAAGTGGGACCTCTAACTCTTCTTTTTTTACGGTCACTAGATGAAGAAGAGTTGTTGGTTGAATCAGCCATGTATCTGTTAACACAAAATAAAAACAATTAGAAATTAAATTAAGCACAAAATATAAACAATTAGACATCAAATTAAGCACAAAATAAATAAAAAAAACAGAAATTAAAGTAATGTCAAATTAACGTATAAAATACCCGTACTAGTCCTCCCATATCCCTTCTTCATGATCTATGTGAATAGCGTGCACGTCATCCTCTTCGTTTTCTTCAACAAAGGTAGGCACATTTGTTGAGAAAGGAGGAGTTTTGGAAATATCAAGGTTCGCATGTTGATTTTCATCACTATCATGCACCTTTCCTTGTATAACCACTGACCACCTTTTATTAGAAGGATCTGTGACATAAAATACTTGTTTGGCTTGAGACGCCATGATGAAAGGTTCGTCCGCATAAGCTAACTTGCTAAGATCAATCGATGTAACTCTGAATTCATCGATTCTTACACCACTGTTGATATCAATCCATTTTCATTTAAATATAGGAACTTTAAACATAACATAATCAACCTCCCAAATCTCTTCAATCACCCCAAAGTAGGGTGTAGATGCCATAACCAATTTTTATCTTTAGCACTAGAGAAGTGCATGGACTCGGTCACAATCATAACCCTACTATTTTGTGTGGTACTACGATCATCCTTTGACTTTGTACAAAAGCAAGTTTTATTAATATCATATCCACTCCAAGTTATTATGTTACATTTAGGTTCATAGGAAAACCGCTTAATTGTATTGGAAGCACTGTCATCATTAGAATTTTTTTTCTTTAAACCACTCATAGAAACTCTTATTATGCTCTTTTAACAACCATCTTTCATTCATATTGGGGTACTTTTTCTTTATGATGCTTTTGTGAGCAGATAAGTAAGGTTGAACTTCATTCGTGTTATTCAATATATACAAATGCGCTTGAAGAACCACATCAATAATTAAGCTCTTGACCTTTAAACCTTGTGTACCCACACCCTCACATCTTCCATCATGACGAGACTTGGGAACCCCCTACAACATCCACTTCTAACAAATAGT